TGACTGGGCCTCGTGTCACTTTATGTTCAATAAATTGGGCCCCAAGGTCAAAAAGGTTAAGAACCCCTGAACTCGAGTGCTCTTTATTACAAAACTGTTAGAATATCAAGCACTGTATACAGAAATCAAGCACTTTCCAAACCTTGAAAACACTTTAATATTCAAGCACTTTCAAGGATTTCAAGCTCTAGAGTAACAGTGCCTGACTGCAGCTGCTCACCTGTCAGGGTGGGAGAACTCAGTGATGTTGGTGAACCTGGTACTGGAACCTCAAACGCACAGAGGAAGCCACTGACAGACAGTCGGACCTTCTGGTTATCCTGAGGGAAGTTCTGCAACAAATAAATGAAGAATCAGACTCGTGTTCTCCTCTTCTTTTTGCTACAAGAAGCATCAGACAAAGAAAAAGGAGAGCTAATGTGCAATGAGAAGGGTGGTTACCTTGATGTTGGAAGCATGGACCTCAGCCAGGAGGATCTGTTCTGGCTTCAGGCTGCACAGTTCACTCAGTTGYTTCTTCAGCCCTGTGTACTTCTCATCCATGTTCAGCCTCAGACCGTAGCGCACCGGTGTGGAGCCGTCCAGTTTGATCACTGCAGGCACACAGCACCAGTTATGGATCTAGCTCTGTTTGCAGCTAAAGAAAGGTTCCTCCACCCTGCTCACCGATGATCTCCAGATGCATGGAGCTGTCCATGGGCAGGGGCAGAGACAGGAAGTTGAAAGGGTCGAAACGAGCGCTGATGTGACCGCAAGTCTTACACTTCACCTGGGACTTGAGCTGACCGTGGAACAGGTCCACCACGATGGAGCGGTTCCTGCGCAGGTGGTTCTCCCACGCCTGCAGGGACGAGAAACAGGTAAACACAACAGGAGACACACACAACACCAACACAAAACCTAGTCCTGGAGCTCTCAGAACACACCCAAATCAGAACCAGGTTTACAGAGTTTTATTTCACTTCTACTCAAYACAACAACTGAGTTTAAGGTGAGCAAAACAACTGGGACATGTAACTCAGAGATCCAGTATGTAAGTTTTCTAAAAATATATTTTCAACATATTTGTTCACTCTGTCACTATCTCCTGACAGATTGATATTAGACAGGTGAGCTATGGAGGGAAAAAAAAGTCCTCTTACTTTTCCCGGTGGTACTACAGGCTTTAGAAAAACCCAGGCTTACCCGAAAATTAACAGCCAATGAAAACAGAAGTTTGTTCGTGAACGAGCTTCTGACGCCCATCCCCGACGTCACTGCCCGCAGCGCACATTCGCGCACGTTCTTGTTTCAAAAGCAGCTGTGGCGGGGGGATAAACTAACTGCTACCTTTCCAG